AATGAATGCTAAAAATTCGTATGTATGGAATTATATATATCGGACACTTTCGAAAGCTACAAATTACTGTAGGATGAAAGTCATTCTTCACAGGTAATTTTTCAAACACTAGTATGATTGATATTTAGACCAATAAAGCAGTTATCGGCACCGTCCAGGTGGGCCATTGTCTGGAGACGAGTTAAAGAAAAACACTAGTTTTCTAATTGGTGAACAGAGTGGATCCTCAGTCTTCAACAGTGTCGAATGTTTTGAGAAGCACAGTGTATTTCCAGAAATTCCCTTCTGAAAATGTTAAACACCACCTAAATGTTTTTCAGCCATCTCGAGAATATCAGTGGTTTCAAAGTGTCCTTTATCTTTATGTATAAGATTCCCCTTATTGATAAGTTAGATCCATCTATAGGCGACACTAATGAGTGCTTTGGTGTCGAGGTGTGCAAACATAGTTGACTTTTTGATTCTGCACTTCACGGTGGGAAATGCATTTTGCGTATAACACTGTTAGTCACACACGGTAAATGCAGTCGTGTATTGTACAATCCAGAATAATTGCCGAATATTGGTTGAACTGTGGATTGATTGTATGTTTAATCGTGACCGGGGATGACATGCAACCTACAGACAGACAATTTAGGACTTCTGTCTGCTAACCTTCGTTTGCTTAGGTTGGCAAGTAGGTCACAGCATTGCAACACAAATAGAAATCCAAGTGGATGGGTTTGAATAAACACTCGTTAAGGTGAACGTATCTTTTACTATAGGTGGCACTCGGTTTTCCGTTTGCTGCCTGGTCATTGAAGACCGGATCTTGTGAACGATCACTAGTGTTCGTGGGAACTTTGGCAACGTGTGCTCCAGTGTCGATGAGATAAAGAACCTCTTCACAACATCATTGGTGAATATCCACCGGCTACGGTTTCTGCTAACGCGTGTCAAGGGGGTTCTCGAAAGGTTTTTGTACTGAAAGATTTAATGTCTTGGGGATTGCAGGGTTTTCTGAAATCTTACTGAGACTTACCATAGTTGCTGTTGTTCGAACAACAGCTAAGGTTATATGTTTCTAGCGGTTTGAGAATAATTTTTTTGCGTAATGAGCTTCTTTAGGGGAGTTTTGGATTGTCTTAGATCATGCTGGATGTTAAGATAACGAATAATAGTATTACAGAGTCCTTTAATTTCGCTTTGTGTTCACTTAGGCATTCGTTGGTATAATAACCCTTGCATTCTATTGATTTTCATAATTTGATCGTCAGATTAAGCTAGTTCATTCACAGCGTTATTTTGGAGTGAAACGAGAACCGCTTGCAATTGTTGGGGAAGATTAGATAGAAAAGGGTGTTCAAGAAGGACCTCCGTTAGAGTTTGTTGACCAATGACCTATCTCATACGTAGTAACATTTGTGTTACCGAGGAGTGCTGCATTTCGATACAGTTGAATGGCCGGTCTAACCTTGTCGACCGGTTAAGTCTCTACGATGACTCTTAAAGGCATCGTAAAGTTCAGAAAATTCACTGGTAAACATACTAGGTGTGACGCACCTGTTGAGCCAGAGCGGTAGTGCCTCTACTACTTATGTAGGTCTGTCACCTCGTATTCACGGAAGTCAGATTCCGAATAGTAGAACCAGTCCTCTCTATACCAGGCTATGATACTGATCAGCTCAGGTTTATTCTGGCACAAGAAAATCAAGATTTGTAGATATACCGAAAAATCTGAGGACACAAAAATAACGTTATAATGTGAGAAAATATACACACAATGTGCGTTGAGAAACAAACACAGTTTCTCGTTTGTTGTACAAGATCACGCCGGGCTCACCACTCAAGATGCCACGGAAACTCAGTTCTTGAAGGCTTTATTGTCCGCAACACCCCTAAAACTGAGGATCCTAAAGCCAGCCAGATTAAAACTAAAGAGTGAAGGGGTTCGAAAATATATTAGGACGATGGTCTCTGTGTCGACATGTATATGAACTAAGCTGAGGGATGGGTAGTTCAGCGTAACCAGTAATGATCTGGTGCGGATTCGTGACTATGCGTCTTCAGCTGGAGTGTTTTAAGTTGAATACTCACAGAATTATTTGTTTTGAAGATTTGTTTGCTGCTACAGTCTAAATAATTCAACATACTATTTCCACTCCGAATGTACTGTACAGACGGAAGTCGTAGCTAAAATAAAACAGGAATGAAGGATGCAGAGTTTGCCATTTGTGTGTTTTATGACTATAGAGTACAAGGAGTGTGTATCTTGGACCATATTATTATAACCTTGACGGGGTTTTGAACAGTTCGACACGTGAAAAGTGGGACGGGCAAACTGTTTGAGGTAGGCATTAAGCAGTTTTGGGAAATTGTATATGAATTGTCGTTTTTGGGACTCAGGCTATTAATTGCAGTGTCTTATCTGTATAATCGAATGCTATTTATAGGAAAAATAAATGATATATCTTTCTTATTGATATAATTTATCTTGGAAAAAATGGAATACTCGTCAGTAATGCAAGTTGTTCATATAGTGTTCCCTATGTACATCACGTCTCACAGAGTGATTTATCAGTCGATAAGTCACATATTGCCTGCCTCAATTAACGGCGTCAGGGCATGTACATAGCGTTAACAGACTGCACAATTGTGCTGTAACTATGGTGACATTACACTCGCTACCCCTACTGTCTTCAAGGAGGCAGTGTTTCTTAGATATAAATAACAAATTTTCTCAGTTTCTGTCTCTGATTATCTACACTCTGCTGTTGTTTTTCAGTACTTATGAGTCATTGCTATTTCTCTGTTCGCTAAGTGGTGGACCAGCCGAAACCAGTCTATTTTTAGCGGTTTCTTAATGTAGCTTTAAAGCGGCTGAAGTTTTTTCTTTTACTGTCATTAGAGCTGATGTAGCGGTAATGATTTCACTAGATGAAGACATTTCCCCTATATCCTTAATTCTAGAGGGGAAAGAGTTTTCGTTACTAACTACCTATCGTTCCCACTGAAGTCGACAACCTAAAAAATATCTATCTCAAAATACTTCATTTGGCTTGGACTCGTCTCTAAAATAGCTGCGAATGGCTCTCAGTATTACAATGTTGCGGTACAAGTACTACCAACACATTGGTGAACTTATGACTTTCCTCAACAGATGTTCTAGAAGAGTATGGATATTATTGTCAACTTGAAATTATGTAGTTAATTGTGTCACGTGTTCCCTTGTATAGTAAAGCCAATAGGCCTGGCGCCAGCACTTTGCTATTCTCAAGATTTGAAAATTTGACTCGTGGATTATTGTACCTCGTTACATCAAACTAAAATCTTCGAGGGACCTGCTCCTGTTCCCTAGTTGTAGACGAAGTCATGTTTTTATTCTAAGCGTCCTACATATCGAAGATCTCTTTCATCGTTTAACAGTTTCTAGTCGATAATGTGCTATGATCATCAATTCACTACTGATGATAGCATTTGGTTTCTTACGAGTATATACAGTAGGAATCATTTTTATTATTTATGGGTTGTATCTAGCGATGGAATTCAGACCATATTGTTTTACTTGTCCTCGTCAGATTGTTGTGTTAGCATCAGTGTTGATTTTCACACTGGTATTCGAACACGGTATCTGTCACTTCAAACGTTATTGCGTTTTTCACTAAGTTACGAAGTTCAGGAAGCCATTATTTCCCACATCTTATGAAGTTATTAATAAGTGTTTGTGTTATCCCGTTGTTGATGTTGCCGACTGTAGCCAAAACCAATGCCAAAATAACTCGCTCACAATACCAATGTAAATTAATTAGTTCCACTCCTAATAATAACGGGATAATGTTAAACCTTTATAAGTGATTAAAATTATATGATAGCAAACATCTCAAATCGAAGTGCTATGTGTTTCAAAATCTACTACTTCTTATCAGGTGTTGTAACTGAGATATGTAATTTCAATTACGATATAGCCTTTTGTGGTCGTTTGCACTATCCTTTTTATATGAGCATCACGTATACTTAGCAATACCAATGTCATCAATCCTTACTCTTTTCATAGGAAGTGAACCAACCGAGCTTTTTGATCACTTCATTTATACTGCAAATCTCACCAAACCTTATATCTTAGTAGGCGTTGAAATATCTATATCGACACACAGAAAGCTCATTCGGCTTTTATCGACCTGCACCAAATCGGTATGTGACAGTCTACAAAGTTGTTGTTTACTGGTATGGTGTTCTGACCACTGTATTTTCGTTAGTCGATTAATGAGACCACTTTACAATTATCTTATGTCAAGTTGATTACTTTGTACGTCATCCAGTTTACATGATTGACCATATTTATTTACTCATTTGAACACAAACATTGGTGCGAGAGGGCACTAAATGCATGTGCCACATAGTTATCAGTAATTTGTGTGAGGGCTGTGATACTGCCCGGGCGCCCGAACCGAAGCAAGTGGTTTCCTTAGGGAGCCCTATCTGGGGCCTTTGATGTAGATATCTAATCCATAAGGCAGTGAAGCAGAGTCAGGAGATGCAGTCCTATGGTAGCTGGTGACCAACAGTAGGCTCATACGCCTTTTGTTCCCTCAGGATCCTGGAACCCATGTGCACTTTTTGTTTGGAATCAAGTTTTTCCAACTTCACTAGGTGGACACTTCGTGTCCACATGACTGAATAAAAGGTACATCGGTTGGTCATAATGATCTATAACTTCATTGACTGACATAATCGCGTTATGACTAACATAGGTCACTCCAAGATTTAATCACATTGTGAACTCGTAAAAACGGCTTGGCGTTCATGACGACGTAGTAATCAAACTAAACAATCCTTATCTCTATAATCAGAGATTTCAAAATTCCAAGTTACCTAACTCTGATGTTTACTGTTGAATCTCGTTTTTAGCATATAATCAAAACTATTTTCAGTTGCTACCTAAATTCTTTTGTAGAGTTTTGCTCTAATTGACCATCGGGTGTTGATAATTGAAGTCAACTATAAACTCTTGGTGTTGGAAAATGATTGATTTAACGGAAGAAATAACAGAACCGTTATCCATACACATTACAGATGAAGATCAGAGAAGAGCTGGTGATATTTTTCTGGATTATAGCGTATTTACCAAACCCGTATATGAAACACCAAAGTAAGTTCGGCAAGACAGTTTCAATTTAACTGTAACTTTTACACTTTTTCATTCATTTGTAGTGGTACTGTTTAATGATCACTTACTTTGGTTTCACTAAAGTTCTTACTGCTTTTTTCACTTGAAACTCCTAAGTTCATGACTTGACCCCGAAAAATATACGCAATAATATATATATATATATTTCAAGACATCCTATTTTACCTTCCAAATGTCGATCTCATGATAAAGGAATAAGTATCATACAGAACCTCATAGTAACCATTTAGTCGACAATAATAACAGATTTTTTTAGTAGATGAAAAGCTTCCAAGAAAATGATGTTGCAAAGACAAGCTCAAGTGGTAATGATGTTTCAGTAAAAAACCACTTACCATTTATATCTAATAGTGATAAAAAGAATTCCATTACATGGTCGTCACATTCATCGTTTCTGTTCAGTTCTTGTTTGGTTCGATAAAAATGACATATTAAATATCGTAATTTGTTGTTAGTGAAACTAAAATTACCATCAATTCCGATTTCGCAACTAAAATTGTATACACTTGTACATTTTCGTTTGCTGTAAGGCCATAAATACAAGAATTACAGTAGTCTAATTTATTACAGTTTGATTTCTAATGTCACAGTTAAAAAATTACAAAATATATTGGTTTATTTGTAACATCTCTCATTTGTCTTCAGACCATAGAGTACCGAACGCTGAGTTTACGTATGAAGCTTAAGGCGATATAAGTAGTTCAATCCCACACATTTTAGCCGTCCTCACTTATAATTTTCTCTTATCGGTTTTCTTCTCTTTACATGGTTATAGAATGTGATAAATGGAGTATATAGAGTGGATTGCTGAGCTTCACACTGTTTCAGTCAAATGGTAGTCATAGTTTTGTGATTCATTCTTTTATTTCAGAAAGCCACAACCTAAACAAACCGGAATTAGAAATATTATGATTACATCAGCATTGCCTTATGTAAACAATGTACCTCATCTGGGCAACATGATTGGATCGACCTTAAGTGCAAGTGTATTCGCTTTGTACTGTGATTTGGCTGGATATAATGTGCTATCTATTTGTGGAACTGATGAATATGGAACTGCGACTGAAGCAAAAGCAGTCTCAGAGAATATGACTCCTCGTCAGATCTGTGATAAGTTTCATAAGTTGCATTGTGATATATACAAATGGTTTCAAATTGAATTCGATTATTTTGGACGAACTACTACTGATCAACATACCGAGTAAGTTGTCCAAATGGTTTTTCAAATGGAGTTAGTTATATTTAAACGGATCGTAATTACAGTTGAACTTTGTTACGCGTTTGGATGAACAAGTTTAATTACTGGGGTATATTAGTTTTTATTGTTGAAAGGATTGCTCTGATTATTATCTTGACGAACTAAAATATTTAGTTCTGATGGACGACCAGTTCTCTACTCCTGTGTCTGCTATTTTGAATAATGTTTAAACCTTCATAAACAAGACTTCAATGAGATTTACACTCTTCGTTATACCAGTTTAGGCGTAAAATTACTTTATTAGGTCGGTTTTTAAAATACTGCAAAATTTTTGTTCATTCCATTTACCTTCAATCACTTTTCCAACTGTCTCCTCAATTTCTTACTGTTATTAGTTCCAGTCGTTCCACACTAATCTTAGTTTTCCCAGAATATGTAGCCAGTCTTGATTGTTTAAAATCTCTGAAATGAACTCGACTCCTGCAATGTCAGTGCTTCGAACGTTCTGGCTTTGTACCAATACTTGGAACAGACATCACTAACGAAACTCCCCAAATCCATTTCTCTGGATGCAGATTGTGCTTTTCAAACCCACACAAGGACCTAAGTGTGAATACACATTTGATCGAGACCTGAGTATTATGGTGGTACGGCGTGGTTCACTATTCATATATTTCTTGAGGTCATGCAGGAGAAGGTTAACATTGATTTTGGAAACAGAAAATGTACTTTAAGTTTAGTTATCAATGCGCGCTTCCTAATTAAATGGCATTGTAAGAACTCGGGAAGATTGGGATACACTGATGCTCGTTTTGTATCTTCTGCTTACTTACATTGAAATTTAAATGAAGTAGACGATAAATTCTTACAAAACACTAGACACTTAAGTGTCCAGTCACTAAGTCAGTCGAATTTTATATCCAAATAAGTAGACTAGACTAAATAAGTGCCATGTTATCAAATGGATTAACTGCAGTGACCAATTTTTCGGGACAATCCATTCTCAATGCTGGTGAATAATGGGGAAATATATAACTGTTCATGACCACACCATAGTCCTCGTCGACCTAGTGAATAAAAACACTGGATATTAAATATGTGACCAAAAAACTCGATCTTAAATAAATGAGCCTATGGTTCAGTACTGAAATTATTCTGATCTGACTATTGGTAGTACCTCTCCTGTGTTTCTTTCCAGGTTTTCACACTTATTATAAGTCACAGTTCGCCTTATATTTAATCTCTTCATGTTATTTTAATTTCAGCGTAAAATACCTGTAGCTAATGGTATTATACTTTTCTTTCCAGAATAGTTCAGGAGTTGTTTAAACGCCTGTGGGATAAGGGTTTTATCACTGAAGATTCTGTTGAACAGTTGTATTGCGAAAAATGCCCAAAGTAAGATTTTTATTCCAGGTTTCCATCTTCTATTATATTTCAAAAATCAGTTGTTATAGACAATAAATCGAGTAATGAACAAATTTAAATAACTTAACCATCGGGTCACGTTTGTAAATCTACTGATTATTTTGAACTGGAAACTCAAGTTCAGTCAGTCAGTAACAACGTAGAACTTCGTGTGTACGTACATCAGTTCGAGTTGCCATACCACATTAGCACAGGAAACTCAAGTTATCCCCATACTACGGGTTTGGCTTGGAAATAAAGGTGCACCATACTATTGAATCACCTGAAATAGTATAAATATTGCAGATTAAGCAACAGAATCCATTCATCTCCAAAAACTAGACAGTCTTAGTGGTGAAATGTTCTAGTTTATTTTTCTCAACTAAAGGCTACATTGTTGTTATTCTTAAGCTTAAACTGGAAATTTTTTTCGGCTGAGTTATAATAACTTGTTTTAGTTGCATCATGTAAGCTTCCTGAAAAAGCGACCTATCAGTACAAACTTACTTAAACACTAACATTTAACTGTTGTTAACAATAGATGTAACTCAAGACAAATTCCGGAAAGTGTTGAATACCACCGTTTTATTGACACTAACCGAGGAACTGCCAAAGATGAGAACCAGTTAATAATTTACCTCATTGTTTTGTAGCTATCAGAGTATGGATCGTGTTATGACTTTGTCCGGCTAGTTATCACGATTTATCCACCAATCAAAATACGACTTATACAATCTTAGCACTGTGCAAAGTCAATAACGTCCGACCAGTATGAGCAGCCTAGCGTCCTTATTGGTCGTGTGTCCATCTAACCCGTCCACTTGAGTCCAGAACACCAATACCAGCTCCCACTATGCGAATAATATATTTCAGACATACTGGATTTATATATCAAACAAACAGACCGCAACGCACCATAAAATAGGAAATAATATTCATACACAATAAAGTCAAAAAGTAGCTGTGAACGTGGAAGGCAGTAGTCAATAAACTGAACATAGCTTAAGAACAGTAAATCGTACAATAATAAATTATAGATCAAAATGAAGCTTATAACAAGGGGAATATAGATATACATAATCTAGTTACTGAATATTTATACCATGGGAATATATCAATAATACTAGTCCATTAATAGTTCTCAGACGTCACTCGTAATGTAATCTTCACCAGGATATAACAGATCGTTAATCTCCCACTAATCTTCAAAATCTGTCGATAACATTGGTTTGAATTTCTAATATAGTGAGTAGAAAAGTGTGTTTATATTTATGCTGCAATCACCTTGATAACGGGGACTATTTCCAGTAGTGTGATTCTGACTACCAATCATTCACCTGTCTATCTAATTCAAGTATTTCCAAGCCGATTACTTAGTAATCAATCAACTATTTTTTGTACTCCTGCAACACTGTATGAGGGCCACATATATGAGGTGTGTTTTGTAACTGTACTACTCACAAGTAGTCGGTTTGTTATCGTATAGTTTTCATGTTGTATTCCATTTTTTTTAATAACTTTTCTCATTAGTTCATACATTTAGTATCTGTCTTACCAGTGGTCATTTTTGAGCTTGTCTGTGCTAAGGGTTGACTGTGGTTCCTGAGTTTATCACATTAAATATGACTTTTAATCGAAGTTAATTGATATTTACTTAAAACTTGCCTGTAGCTATTCTAGGGTTACTGCTGGTCCCAAGCCCTGGGTAAAGAAGGAGGGTTAGGCATGGGGTCAGCAACCTCATCCCGTAGAAAACAACCTTGCCAAAAATTTCTTACAAGTAAGAACACTTTAAACCATGTAAATTCCATCCTGCTAGTTGAAGGGTCTTCATATAGAAGAATCATGACGCCTCATGTTGAAGGTCGATATTCTGAGGAAGTCACGAGACCGATCCTCCTTCTTATAACCAGAGCAACAATTGCATAGGTACTTGGAGTGTCCGGACAATGTGGAAGGCCAGGAGTACCAATCAAATAGCTGCGGAAATGAGATACCATTTGAAGGTTCTGGGAATAACTGGAACCCATTGGACCCAAACTGGACAGAAAAGGATGGATTCGGGAGAGATGCTGTTGTACTCTAGTCACGAAGAATAAAGTGCTCCGTACACTTAGGTAGTTGCACTGACGCTGTCCAAAGAATCACGTAAATCACTTATAGGATGGGAATCTCATGGATCCAGAATCACCAAAGCATTCTTCAAAACAAAGCAAATGGGGATTACAATGAATGTTATCTAGTGTTATACGCCTACGCCTAGCAACGAAGACGATAAGGATCAATGTTATGAGAAGCTGCAGTTGATCGTAGAGAAGGGCCCGGAGAGGGACCTGACCATTCTGATAGGAGACAACACGGGTATGAAGATATCATAGGACGACATGAACTGACTAGGAGAAAGGAACAAGAATGTTGGGGGATCTGCAAGTTTATGTACATTCAACAAAAAGTTATGGATGGTACTATATTCCCCCGTAAACGCATACATAAAGCTACATGGGTCTCACCGGATCACACCATAGAGAATCAGATCGGTCACAGTTGCATCACTAAAAAGTTCGGAAAATCCATGGAAAACGTAAGAACAAAGAGAGGAGCAGACATAGCCTCAGGTCACCACTAACTGGTGGTTACCAAGATGAGACTTAAGCTAAAGAAGGATTGGACAACTGAACAAACAGCATTACAAAGGTACAACACAGCCTTCCTTCGACATAATGATAAAGTCAACCAATTCAAGATAACTCTTAACAACAAGTTCCAAGACTTATAAGATATACTCAACGAAGAAACTACTATGGAGGACAACTGGAAAGGGATAAAAAAAAATTAACTTCAACGTGTCAGGAAGTTCTTGGACGCAAGAAACATCATTATAAGGAATAGATCTCAATGGAAACCCTGGATGGGATTTAAGAAAGGAAGAACAAGAATACAGCAACTAACAACAGTCGAACAAGAGTACAGACCGAATACACAAAAGCAAACAAGCAAGTGAAGAAGAGCATTAGAGCCGACCAGCAAAAATATGTTGAAGACCTAGCAATGACAGCGGAAAGAGATGCAAAAGAAGGGAATGTGAGATAATTATACGATACAATGAAGAAACATGCAGGGAAATATGGTGAACCAGAGCGACCAGTCAAAGACAAAGAATGCAAGCTAGTTACTGAGATTCTAGAACAGAGGCACTACGGATCATTGCTGAGCAATTAATTGAACGGAATTCGTCACTGTATATCAACTTCATTGACTATGAGAAAGCATCTGACAGTGTGGATAGGAGAACCCCATAGAATCTTATTCGACAAAATGGTGTACTTGGAAGGATCGTCAATATGGAGTTCATACAACAGACTACAGTGCGAAGTCGGGCATGGTGGACAGCCGAAAGATGCATTTCGGGTGAAGACCGGTTTTCAGAAAAAGGCTGTTTCCTTTTAGCTTTTTTCTTTCTTCTGATGGTTGACTGGATCAGAAAGATCTACACATCTCAGTGGAAGCACCGAATACAATAGATAACTTGAATGCAAATAGACCATTAGGACCTTGCGTATGACTTAGCTCTCCTGCCCCACACGCACCAGCGAATGCAAGTGAAAGCAACCAGTGTAGTAGAAGCCTCTTCATCAGTAGGCTTTAATATGCACAAGGGGAAAATGGAGATCCTGAAATACAACAGAGAGCACTAATCAAGTCACACTTGATGAAGGAGCTCTGGAGGAGGTGGAAACTTTCACATATCTGTACAGTATCATCGATAAATAAGGAAGATCTGATGCATATGTGAAGGCACGGATTGGCAAAGCAAGGGCAGCATTCATACGAATGATGAATATATGTAACTAAAAACAGCTATCAGCCAACATCAAGGTCAGGATCTTCAATACGAACTCCAGAACAGTTTTATTGTACGGAGCTGAAAGTTGGAAAACTTGTATAACCCTGTTCGGAAAGGTGCAGGTGTTTGTGAACAGCTGTTTATGTGAAATACTAAATGTCCGTTGTCAGGATATTTTCAGCAACAACGTGCTGTGGGATAGGACAATCCGGATTCTAGATGAAGAGGAGATTTGGGAAAGTGTTTAGAGGTGGATAGGACGTAAATTTCAAAAGCCATCAGATTGCGTCATGAGACAAGCGCAAACTTGGGATCCTTAAGGGAAAAGGAAGAGATGCAGTCCAAGAACACATTGCATCGGGGATTGGAGGCAGACATCGAAAGAACAAACAGTAACTGGAGACAGCTGAGAAGGATCGCTAAGTACAGGGTTCCGTGTAGAATGCTGGTGGGCAGCCAATGCTCCTATAACAACTCTCCTACAATCAATTTCGTCCGCGGTTAATTTTTTCAAGCCCTTATTTAACAAACAGTGTTATTCAAACAGTAACAGTTTGTCTATTTCGTCGTATTATTATGACCACTGTCATGTCTGTATAAACATATATCCTTGAGTCTTATTAATTGCCTTCGCTTCGATTTGACTATAAATTATGCCTCTGTATTCTCACGCATATGCACATTAGCCTCTCTGCTCCAATTCGCTCGATGTATGTTATGTTCCGACAAGAATAATGAATGGTAACCTTTGGGATCTATTGATGGACCAATACTAGACGTATATTTCTATTGTATAATTATTAAGTAGCTAAACTATGCATATTTATATTCCTCTTATTATAAGCTTTATTTTGACCTATAAACTATTATTATACCCAGTATATTAATTACTACCTCCCTCATTCACAGCCACATCTGGCTAATTCTTGTACAAATGTTGTTTCATATATTATTGGTACGTTGTGGTCTGTTTGATTGGTATATAAACTCAGTATGTTTGAAATGCAATGATTCATATCGCATAAGCTCGGATTGGTGTTCTGGACTCAACTGGCTAGGCTAGGTGGAAAGCAAGACCAATCAGGACTCTAGGCTGTTCGTACGTCTTTTACGCGTTCTTGGTCCGATCGATAAGTCACTGCCCTCTAATTGGCGGTCACAAGTTATAACAATGTATTTGTAACTTTATCTGCGCTATCCAATACTAAACTGTAGTCATCGCTTCTTGTTGCGTTCTGAATTCATACACCGTTGGGATTTGTTTAATAACGGTTATCAGGGTGATTGACAAACAAAACCAAGCCAATACACTCCTCCACGAAGGGTAACAGGCGTAAGTAATTATAACAATTCATTGCTTAAATATATTCCTATATTAATATATCGGGAAGCAAAGTCTCCTGTTTTTATTTTATTTTGAGTTCGTTATTCCAGTGAATCTCATAATTGGTACCATATATTTACCAAAACTGAAGTAGGTGGTGTGAGTTTTTGAACTTGTTCAACCCGGTAATTGGAGTTAAGTGCTTCACGACCATTAAGCTACCTCTTCACTGCATTGTAACTCAGTAGCTAGTATACTATCAAGTGCGGTTAGCTATGTTAAACACCAAATGCTTAAAGGTGAATTTTGACCTGGTTAACCGTCGAATCATATAATTCACTTATTAGAGTACTAATCCGGTAACATATAGGCGACTGATCGAAAACCAGTCAATCCATATTTTCTCTCAATAACAACAAGTCTATCGAACAAGGTTTTTCTGATCGATATAATTAACTGAAAATATGTATTCTTGAATTACTGTTAGATTATTCCACTATACAGTAAACTGTTAACATAATTTTAATTTTATTCTAAAGATTTCTTGCAGATCGTTTTGTTGAAGGAGTTTGCCCTTTGTGTAAATACGATGACGCACGAGGTGATCAATGTGATAAATGCGGGCGTCTCATGAATGCTGTCGAATTAATCGAACCACGTTGTAAGATATGTTGTCAAAGACCTGTGGTGCGTTCTTCACGCCATTTGTTTCTTGATCTTCCAAAGGTAACATTATTACTTGGATTTAAAAAGGCGTTTATTTTAGATGCTGGCGTTCATATATTTTACACTAATCTTACTTAATAATTTCTAATCATTTATGTTTTATATCCTAATATTCTGCGTGCGGTTTTCTAGCAGTACTGAAAGCATTCGATTTTTTAACCACTGGGATTCAAAATCGAACTCCGCTCTTCCTAATTTGGTGGTTACTTTCATTTACAGGCTAATTGGTTGGGGTTCGTGCGACTAGCGTAACCAATCTTTGGAAAAATTAGGTGATGTGGTCCAGAATCGTTTTCAGTGGCCCAAATTCATTCATCCCTTTTCTTTAAAACTACCCCATACTTTTGACCCGTGGAATTCATTCCTCTCAAATCATATTGTCTCTACCTCATCTTTTCTACTGCCACTGATACTGTTACTATTCCTACTATGGTATTTGTGTTAATAATATTATCTCGCTGTGCGGATTTGGTGTAAGTTGAACCGGTGCACATACGTGTCATATTCTAGGTTATTATTATTATCATTAGTGGCTTTATTCAATATCATATTTTCGGTACAATATAGAATTCTCAGCACAAAGTATTTCAATACGTTTCCTTTTCTTATTTCTTGATTGACCCTTGCGATAAATATTGAATGGTCACCAGTTAGATGTTAGCAGTTCAGGAATCGATATCTGATTAATATATATTTTTTTCGATGCATATTATCAGCAACCACTATGTCTCTGATTGGGCTCTTTTGTAACTTGTACGGCGAAATGTCGTAAACTTCTCACAAACGCACCTGAATAGGTCATTCGATCAATAAATATAATTATGTATTTAAAAAAAACAAGAAAACAGATAATTTGTTGAGATCTCCGGATGACAGGAACAGGTGGCCCAGATATTCAAGCAGCTTATAAGTAATGAATTAGAGGATAGCTTCGTTAGCTCTTTACTTCTCCACTTACTGAATTATATTAATAAACTGGCCAATTACTATTTCAGATTGAAAGCAAGTTGAGTACATTCGTTGAAGAACATATTAACGATTCCTCTTGTATATGGACCTCAAATGCTTGTACTATATCAAATTCATGGTTGAGAGATGGTTTAAAGCCAAGGTGTATTACACGTGATTTGCATTGGGGTGTACCAGTTCCATTGGAAGCTTATAAAGATAAGGTGATTAACTGTTTGTATATACGTACATACTATTAACTTTTTTGATGATTACGCAATAATATTTTCATTATCATTGTTTTTTGCCAATATTTTACTATCTCATTCTTTGTTATCATAAATCTAGTTAACTTATGAAAGAGAAAATATTTTGAAGCTTAGTATTATATGCACTAAGTTGAGGAGAGATTTCGGTATGAAACTGTAATAGTTTCAATTGTAGAATTCAAAGGTCGTGTGGTTTATGCATTCCCTACAGTGCTTAAGGATTGTTTAAGAGGTGAATAATATAAATTTATAGTACCACTATCATCTACTAGTTGGTTATAGTAGGTTTCTAAAATAAAATTCTTTAAAATTCAGGACTTGTGATATCATTGTTTTTTTTAAACATACGACTTGTGATATTTATCATCAATCTTAATGATAATAATAATCATAAATATATAAATAGTAATTATTGAATAAGTTACTAACCACCAGTTCAGTCTTTTGAGAATCCAAATTTAACCCATTGTGTTACAGCTTAACGACTACTTCATATATTTCCTCCCATCAAGAGGAAGTAGAGAGGGTGTTATATTCTCTCTTACGGTGATGACCAAGCTATTCCTATTGCTTAGTATTCTTGGACACCAAATCACTCGACAAGACCCCAAATCAGAACACGGTTCAACATGAAAGAAATTACATTCCAAATAACAAGGTTAGATAGAAGCAAGAAGCAATAAGCAAGTATGTAGTGCAATAGGGAAAACGCTAGTATATTTATAGTTTTTCACATGAGATTTCTAGAGTGTTCACTAAGTATTGGCTAAGGTCGATTGGATAAGAATTAGCCAATCAGTGTGCATCAAAGCAATCGTGCATTGAACATGCTTTAATCCAGTCTATGTCCCGCTAACAGTGGGTTACTTGGTGGTTAAGTCAGTTGACTTACAACCATTTAGTCGAAAGCTTGAACTTTGTTGTACTTCAGTTCATGAAGTCGTATAATATTGCTCCTCCTCACATAGGAAATTATGCCTCAGAGCGGAATACATATACATTTACTTGGTACATAAATTATTCAGTAGTAATGATTAGCAGAAGACAGATTATATTGTATGTTTTCAAAAACTCTAAACTTTTTCACATAACAAAACATCCTGGTGAAAATAAATTATTTAGGCTTGCTATTTACAAAAAACAATTCTGACTTAGCGTTACTAATTATTAAGAAATGTCTAATTTATCATTGTTTATCATATCATTCCATTTATTACAACTCTTCATTACATTTCACTATTGATATGTTCTATTAAATTTACAAACATTTCTGCTCATTTCCGGTCACCTTTATTTATCTTAATTTGAAATTTACTCCTAAATGTGTTTTATGAATTGTTCATTTCATCCTGAACTTATAAGTCTTTCGTTATTTCCAAGGTGTTTTATGTTTGGTTCGATGCACCTATTGGTTATATTTCGATTACGGCAAATTACACAAAACACTGGAAGGAATGGTGGCAACCATCTGATGACAATGAAATTGAATTATTCCAATTTATGGCAAAAGATAATGTTCCATTTCATGCTATTGTATTTCCTTCATGTCTGTTAGCAGCCGATGCTGGTTATACTCTCGTAAAACATCTACTTTCTACTGGTAAAATTCATTATTTTCCATTTTTATTCATCTAAGCATATATATTATATATTATATACACACAACAACTGTTTTTGATTTATATTTATCTGGTCCTGATTAAACTCAGTACTTTAATGGTTTTTAAGTACACAACCGATGTCGTTCTAAAGTTGTCATAATTTTGAATTGATTTACACCTATGATGACTAAGGTGTATTAGTGATATGATAGTTATGTTTGTTGACTATTTTTTCTCTCTCTGGATGATATATTCTAGTATTCATCTTATCAAGATAATTCCTGTCTATCTCAAAAAGAAAGACAAATATCTGTATATCATTCTGGTTTATTTTTTTATTATTTTAGCACATAAATGTTGGTACAAGGAGGCACTAAATACATATGCGCCACACAAATCTCATTTGATATGTGTGAGGGCTGTGATACTGCCTGAGTGCCCAAACTGAAGCAGGATATCATTCTGGTTGACTTAATGAAAGCTTTAAATGTTATTTGTAAACAACTTTGGAATGAAGTTATTTATCATTTAAAAGATGTTTATTTATTTGGTTAGTCAATTAATCATAAACAACATAGTATCTAGCACAAATTTTCATAAGATCAAGTTGCTACAATTCACATATTCACACCGTAAAATGGAATTGATATGTAAGATCAAAGGTGAAATAATTGAAATAATGATTGCATTAGTGACAGTGAAGATTAAACATGGAAAATCTAGTGGTTGAAACGTTGAAATATTAAGAGATTTCAGTATTAGACAGTACTCCAAATAATTGCACTCAAAAGTTGGCTAGATACTTATCTACGTAACTCAAACCAATGTTTGAGAATCAGATTAGATCAGCCAATAATTTATTGACATAAAGATACAATCAATCAACATAGGTTGAATCGAAGTTACGTTTAAAATTATCTCTTTTATTTAGTATAGTTAGATATATCTGTCTTTGATTATTAGCCAATCATATCATACTTTCACTGACACATCACTAGTCCATAAGGAGTACATATAATCGAAAAATAAAATGTTTAAAATAGTAAAATATCCAAATTGAACATTTTTAAGATTCGATAGCATAAATGCATCTGTAAAAGTGTAATATCACCTAAAGTAGTATAAATCTCAATAGCTAGGTATTAAAAACAAAATTATAGAGTCATTCTTCGGTTGTCTACATAAATTCACTGAAGCTTTCCCAGAACTTCATAACTGATAATCACAACTTGATTTTATTCAAATTTATGCCAATATGTGAATATCAGACTTTGAAACGGTGTTGCCGAAAATGGATAACAATTCGTAAGTTATGTTGTTATTGTATTTTATAGGCAGATGAATTTTATTCTCTATACTTTGAGTGCAGCGGTAGACTTTGTGGTTAAACGATTTGATTTTCAATTGCTAGGTTACAAGTTTAAACGTTATCCCTCATCCATTTTTCTTTAGTAAAGGAGATAAGATTACTAGTTTCCTCACATAACAGTAAGACTCGAAGTCAACTACGTAAACCTTTATTCCTCGATAATATGAATTATATTAAAACTAATTAAATTGGGTTACATTAATGATGAATGTTTTATTGACAAATAATTCATCATAACTTCTTGTACTGTTGTAGTGTGTGCTACTGATGTCGACAGATATAAGTAGTATGTATCATCAATCGAAAGCAAAATGTCTGGTGGCAGAAGGTTAAGAAGATCGAACAAAAGAGAATGAGAACAAAGAATGATTGCTGTGGAAACGAAAAAACGACGAAGTCTGAGATGGTTGACTGATATTTGCAAAAGGAACAGTCAAGTTTGAGACAATTGATTGACATTTTGCAAATGAAGTATTTACTGTATGGTTTTCTGATTTTACTAAGGTGTTCTGTAATTTTGTGTTCAAATACATTCGATTGTCCGCACTTTTGTCCTCGTTCACTCCGTTGTTTTTCTCACTTTAAATATTACACTCAGAGTATATGAACTATGAAAATACCAAATTTTCAAAAAGTCGTGGAATTGGTGTATTTGGTGATGATGCAATGAAATCAGGTGTTATATCAGATGTTTGGAGATTTTATTTACTGTATCGGAGACCTGAATCACAAGTTAGTTATATCTTATGTATTTTTATTCATTGAATTGACGGGTTTGTGAAAATAATCCGACTTGAGTTTTTATCGAAGTCCAATTATTAAATATATTGGAAGATACGAACAAACAACTAAGTTACGCGGGGATCTCCGAGATTCAAAATAAAAGAATTTATCCATAATGCGGTTCTGAATTTTAGACGTGTATGTAGAGTCTGTACACGTCAATATATGCAATATAAAGAAGAATACTTCTGTAATTTAAGTAAAAGCTCGTATCTATATCAAAATAAACAATTGCTATCAACAATCTAAACAGTAACCAAGAATGCGAAAATTGGGAACTTGTATACTTAAACAAAGGTTCAAGAGTGTTTTCATTATGTGATGATAAATAAATAGAATGTTACAAGTTCATGTAAACGGTCAGTCATAAAACTGAACAACCAAGTTGAAATTTAGTCCCTGAATTTTAACAAGTAGTATAATGTAATGTACAAAAATAATCCAACAGTAAAGAAATGAAGATGAGAGATATAAAGATTTAACACTAATATTAACTGGGCGAAATAACTACTTAGTGCTTCCTGGCTTTTTTACGGTTCTCTTTAGTTAATGCTGGTGCTTGATGAAAAAGTTGCTACAACTTTAGTAACTGATTGCATAATGGTCGTAACACTTTTCTGTCGTTCTCAAGAGTATGAAATTCTGTATAAATGACCACACTGTTGACAATTACATAGGTACATATCTGAATTTCGATTCTTTCACACTTGTTCATATGACGAAACCAAGCGTATAGATGTTCTGGGTATCTTGGATAAAAAAATAGTAAACTAGCACCCTGTTCATTATCACGTTCGCAGTAAAAATTAATAAACACTTACTTCCCCTTCGTTACTTATTTGCTGTTTGTTTATTAATTTATGTATAACTTATAAATTTCAGTACAATAGGATACCAAAAATGCACAACATAATTGAAGTAGTAATAGGTGAGTGGAGAGCAGTACAATTTATGAATGGGTAAACCAGAATATTATTTGGAAAAAGAACTAGTTCAGTTAAAAAAGAGCCAATAAAAACTTTTTTCAGTCAAGGGAGATAGTCTCAATTTTACGAAGAAGGGAATAGAAAACTGCACCATGATCGCCATTGGCTTGTATTCTGAATCATATCTGATAACGTTTCTAGCCATTAACTGAGTTGTTCAATCTCTAGAACTGTAACCGAATAGTCATATAGCATACAGCTTTCTTACTATAATAAGTCGTCATAAACTAATCACTACTCATTCTCCACATAGTCCCAGCGTCGACAAATAATGTGCAATATAGAAAATGCTGAGATATGACATTCGTAAAACATATCCAAGCTACTAAAGCTACTGTTCTTAGATGATACCACAAATTAGATTATTGTCACTGTGTTCCCAAACACTTATTGTCAAACGCTCGTATTACTAAAATGTTTTTTTTTCCATAAAAGAATAATTTTGTATTTATTATACTCCTTATCTCAGTATAAGCGTACGTTCAATGATTCCGATTAACCTGTATTAGCTACCTAATTTACCGAACATTCTGACGTTTTTACTTAAAACTTTAAGTAGATAAGTTTCTGGTTTTTGTTTTGAAGTGACCATTTTTTAGCGGTACTGATTCACTGAAAATTGTTATTGCAAGTATTATAAAAGTATATATTTACTATAAACACAGTAAGGAATTAGGGATAATAACATGTCTAATGTATCACAATTGTTATGATAGTTTTTTAATAAAAACATGAGCTACTTATTAAATAATGATGATTTACTATAGTAGTGTAGATGAATAAGAAATTCCTTAAAAATAAAAAAATATGTATTTAGAATAATTCAAATCTCGTGGAACTCTAACAGATTATTAATTTGATTTTGTATAGCATCATATAAATAACTAACCTCAACCGGAGTGATGACAGCATTCATATTACATTATAAATCAAATAAAGTTGTCAAATGTTAATTATCTTAATTTAACTTTGTAGTTTTAATGTACTTTATTCTTCAGAAGTATCTAATCTAGTTTATGTAAAGATTTGGCATCATATTTTATTTGGTAGTTGGATAATAAAAACAAAGTATATTTTCACTGTACTCTAGATTTTGAAGAAAATTCGTATTGTGATGAAATTGTTGTTTGCAATAATCAATATTCAAAAAGCTATCCAGTTTTGTGATTGAATCGTTTGTCAGCTTAGTATTTATGTACTGGACTTAAATCTATGGTAGTTAGTGTATTTGTTCTTGCGAAATTAATAAATGGGTACCAGTTTACTCCATAGGCGATATATATATATATATATCCTCTGAAAACAATTTAATATTTATTTTTAAATTGTATACAGTGAATATAATTAATTTAGGGCTCTAAAATTTTCTAACATATTTCATCTTTTTGTCCCTGGATATCATCGTTTTTCTAATTTTATAATTCATCTTTTTACAGGATAGTGCTTTTATCTGGGATGATTTCATGTTGGTAAATAACTCAGAATTGTTGAATAATTTAGGTAATTTTGTTAATCGGTAAGTTTATTATCAATCCATCAGTTTATTGTTTGAACTTTATCGGGAGGTGGTAACTACTTGACTGGTGTCCTTGTGTTAATCGTAATTTATTATTTTCTACAACAAATTCAGGTTATACATTCCACGTGCTTCATGAAGCTGGAAGATTATCATATATATATATATATATATATATATATATATATATATATATATATATATATATATATATATATATATATATATATATATATATATATATATATATATACGAAAGCAAGGATCACTAAACATCCGTAAATATAATCTTGACACCAATTGTTTATAATTTAATGGTGTTTTTATCAAGTGTACTACGTACATTATCTGAATCAAGATTTATTGCTCTTAGTACTGGATAACAGAAATAGTTTATTTGTATTTCGATTTGTCCGTCGTAGAATATGTGGAAACTTCTTAGTATGCAGTATTACAATTTATTTGTTAAATTATAGTCATCTGTTTATTAGTTTATAATTAAACTTCTATCACTATCTGTTATTTACCTATACATATATACCAAGTCGATTTATCTCAGCATATTTGGTATGTACTTAGAAGTCGGATTCAGGACGCATGTTTCATCCTACTCTAAACTCGTTAACCGGGTTCAGTTGTATCATAATTGTAGTGGCTAACACAATGAGTCGAACCCAGTACCTTTCATCTAAAAAAACCCAACGCCGTCTTCCTCTGTGCTATTGAGTCCAGATAGCTACTAACTTGTTCAACGATTATAAAAACATTAGTAAGGGTTTTTCAGTTCTCCGTTGCTTATATTGACGACAGGAAATGATTGATATTCATATTGTGCTGACAGAATTAAAAAAACTATTTAAGTAGAAATAAGTAATGCCCAGCGGTGGAATCCAGGACGCTCTCAAGATGCTTATATGTCATAAGAGATTAATCAATTCCAGTCCTTAACACCAACAACAAAAGTATTCCAACCTTTACGGACAATTTTATATGGCTTTGATTTGCCTAGAAGTCGAATCCACGAAGTGCGTTTTGTTCTATCGGCGATATGTCAGCTAGATTCCACTCCTGACTACATACTAAATATATTGTAATTTGTTATAATGCTGTTTAGAGACAACCTACTCATGATCTACATATGATGATAGTGACTAATCAATCATAGTTATAAATATCAATAGTGAGAAATTCCAAATTCGTACTAATACCATATCGATGTACTTTACTCCAGATAACCGGAGAGTATGATTGTTTCATAGTTTCATTAGTTTGATCAATATGAATTCTCACATGGTTAATAAAATCACTTTGAATTAAAATCAATGTTTCCTATGACTTACTACTGATTAGTTAAGTCGACATGTTTTTTCTCCTCTAATTCTGATCTTGCCAGATCTCTTTCTTTTGTGTCACGATTTTTCAATTCGATTATTCCATCAATAACAAAATTAGAACCGGTTGATACGGAATTTTTGGCCAGAATTAATAAACTCTTCGTTACTTATATGCGCAATATGGAGTTATGTCATCTTCGAGATGCTATTCGAAATGTATTGACAATTGCTCGTCTTGGTAATGGTTACTTTCAAGCTAATCAACCGTGGGTCGCTGTTAAAAAACCGGAAACAAAGTTCGTTCCTATCTTTTATTAAACTAAATTATTTTGATATTACCTTCCCTTGTGGTGTAATTTTTATTTATTTATTTGAGAGGAATTAGCTTTTCCAATAATTAAACAATTTAAAATCTAAGATGCTTAGGTCTTTACTGAATTGAGTGCTTTATATTTACCTTGGTATTAACATGTTGACCAGTTATGATATTAAAATTAACAAAGATTTTCTCTGGTGTTCTGCAACTTTCCACAAGGAAATTCCTATCATACACATACGTGTGTCAGCCTACTTAACGTGTTCCGCTATGGTTTTGTCATTCAAAGCGTTATTTCAACATTAGTCAAAGCCACTTATATGACCAACGATTTTTTGTACATTTCCAAAATCTCATCTCTTTGTTACCTTAAAATTGTTTATATGATTGTTAACATGGAACTTACGTTAAAATTATTATTTGTAAAATGGTATGTTTATTCATTACATTAAATGCAAGCGAATCTATGATATAGTATCTATATATTTTTATTGAATACTACTCTAGTGACATTTATATTTTCAGTAAACTCATCACTACTTGTTTAATTCAGCGATGTACTTAGGGAGATCACTCATAATGTAGTCACTAACAGAACAGGGAATAGTGTCTATTGCTTGTATGTCTTCTTTTACATATGCGGTAGTACGTTATATTAAAAAAATTAGATTATGTCAGTGAGTTTCCTGTTTTTATAGTCATAAAGTATTTATTGTGCATATTATCATCAAAAATTCCAACCTTAAGGAAACTCCTGGTCATTTGATTATTGGTAAGCGATTTTGCATTATCCATCGCCCAATGTTGCTATATTCTGTTGGTTTTGCTATGCTATTTCAATTGGATATGTCAATTGATGGTGTGTAGACACTCGATTTTTAACTATTGGGTTTTTTAATCTTAAGATCAATTAATATAACAATAAATTATTAGATGAAATTTGCAAATTTTATCATATGTTTAATCAAAACAGAAAAGCACATAATATTTTTATTACATCCTGAAATTTTTTAGTCTTGGACAGTTTTTCGCGTACATACGTTAATATTTGAGTAGTTAGTATTTGTTATATAAACTGTAATAAATTCTCAAATATAATATTGTGTGAGATAGTTATTTAAAGGCTTTAATAAAATCTTTCTAATTATAATCAACATTTACTCTCTGTATACATGCTTTTGGATTACTTTCAAATTATGTCACACATAAAAACATTTCAGACAGCGTTCTGGTGTTGTGATAAGCGTTGCTGCGAATGTTGCTTGTCTTCTTGGTGCTATGATTTATCCTTACATGCCTACAATTGGAAAACAGATCTGGATTGAGCAGTGTGATCTTCCGGAATCCCAAATGAGTTTCGTGCAGATTATTAAAAATGAATTTAGAGTGAAGAGGTTGTTACCTGATGGTCATCGTATTGGAAAGGTTAGTCATATTTGCATACTTTATATTTTCAGAGTTGTAAACAGACATAAGTAGGATATGATCAACCACAAATACCCATCAGCCAGAGGAATAGGAAAGCTGTAGCAGTAGGATTGAACCGAATGAGAAAAAGAGAAATATGCAATTTCGAAGAAGGATTGAAAGGTGTAGAGTGTTACAATACCTCAAATTTATAAGATAAATATTAGGTAATTATATACCGTTTTAACAGATTTTACGTCGTAGCAACATTTTTCAGCTATAGCAAGTTGGCGGAAGCCAAGATTTTGTCAATCATCAGACGCCTATCTATCTTGGCTGACTGCACTTCTAAGGCAACTGATATTCATCTCTTTTTACCATTACATGAAATATTTTTGATGCATTTGATTATTTATTTTGAATTTCCAAATTACTAGGATAAATTGCACTGAAAGAACTTAATTTTCTTCTTGTTTTGTAGCCAGTCCCTCTTTTTCGGAAAATAGATCCTGATGAAATCAAACGTTTGTCTCAAGTTTACAGTGGTTCATCTGCTGCGTCTGTGACTAATGGAAATGAGCCGAAGTAAAAGAATCGTTAATGTGTGTGTGACTTTCCTGTGACAATTAATTTATCAACGTACTTGTTCTAACTATTGCTTCACCACTTATGTACTTTATGGAATACATGTACCTTTTAAAGCATTACTTTGTATATCCTACTACTTTTGGCGATTAAATAAAAATTTGACCCTGGTTTTATAGACAGCGCGATTTAAAATTTGATTTGGCGTTACTTTAAGATTCAACACCTCGCACAGACAAATTGGTCTAGCAGTTTAAATATTTATAAGTTATGTAGGAACCAGTGTATAAAACTAGCGAAGAAATATTCAGGTTTATACGTAAGTATGACAAAGTATGAACGTTTTGGTCGCTAAATCTTGTAATATGTAGCAGATTGTATTTGTGTATAAATTGTGGTGTTAGCAAGAAATGATATTTATCTTGTTATTCGTTTCAAAGTTTTATTAGAATTGCGGTACATCACTTCCACGTGTGTAATATATCAATTGGGAAAATAGCTACATATTCAACTCCGTGGTCGTTCAAATGGTAGAATAAATACATGGAATCTCAGATGAAAGCTTGAGCAATATCTAGTTGCTTATCCCGAAGAGTTCGAGTTGGTTACATTAATTAAGAGGTACTGAGTAAGCTTGGGTTGCAATCCGTGAGAAATTATGATACACTTTCTAGTTTTCACAATTAGCTTCAAGCTCAAGGTGGTAGAAATCTGCCTTAAACTGACAATGAAATTCTAGTAAAAGGACTGTGTCTATCTAGTGCTTCATTGATCGTAGAGAAGTGCCTGGAAGAGGACCTGACCATTCTGATACCAGACAGCATCGGGTATGAAGATATCATGGGACGACATGGACTGACTAGGAACCTTAATAGCAAAACGCAACATATTTTAACCTCATATCCATAGAAAATTGGAACACAACTATTCTTAGAGCCTGTGGATCATGGGATCAGATGACTGACGTACAAAAGACTTGTTTAAGTCACATTTATCTGGTTATCGCTTCTAAGGTGTCTCTCACCTGTTAGCTCTTTGGAGAGTTTCCACATACTTGTAACGTTTTTGAGAGATAGAAGTTCCTGAGTAAACACTGAGTTCAGACGCCTAATATCTAGGTTTGCCAGACTACTTAGCTTGCGAACTTCAATGGAGTTTTTCTCCTTGTATGCTTACTTTCTACCCTTCATATTCGCTTCAGTTAGGAAGACATAAGTTGATCTAAACTTACGAAAATGGTTCCAATCAGGTAAAAAATATCAAAACAGAATTTAAGTTAACAAGTGATAATGTTAACAGCGTTTTCCTATGGGTTATCTGTAAATAATCCCCAATTGGTCGTAAGAAGTGTTTTTCAGATTTTGGATATTTCCTTTTCAGCAGTTTCTGTATTTGACTTCGTTTACCTGATGTAATAGTGCACCCTTTCCAAGCTTGCCATAGACTCTAGGTAGGAGTGTAGTGTATTGGTACTGGTTCTAACCACACAATACTCGGAGATGAACATAAGATGTTTGGGAAAATTCACATTAAACATCTAACACGGTGGAAAAATCAGTAATATATATATATATTCTGAAAATGATAATTACAGAATTCACGCCAGTTTACAGGCATGATCAATTTGATATGAATAGCAACATAACATGTACAGAACAAACATGTGATAGAAAATAGTTTTAGGTATGCTAGTTCAGTAATTGTTTAGGTAGTACGTGTATTACAGCGATCCAATGCATCAGCCAGGAACTTTTAATTCTTCTTAAATGGACAGCCTGTTGATTTCTGAACGGTGTAATTAAGGTCATTTCCTGTGCCAGATCGAATGATTGCCAATTATCTACAACTAGAGAAATTGAAGCGAAAGAAGAGCACGGAACAACAAAGCAGTCATTACCAAAATATGTCAATCAGGTCTACCAAAATGCATGTGACACAGTGATATACTGTTGATGTTATTCAAATTAGTTAAAGTTGCTAGGGACGGTGTTAACATGAAGTGACAGCAAGTAGGTGGTTTTACTTACGGAATGCACTAATAAAATTGGCTAAACATTTAAAGTTCCTATAATATCTATTGTGGGATGAGATACACTTACAGGTGCTACAACATTCAATGCATTTTCAGAAGAGCAGTATGTATTGATGCAGCGAACAAATAATGGGAGTGATTTTATCGTACGGATAGATTGTGGTAGATTAGTTCAGATTCTAGAAAATTTACAGGCAAAGTAACTCATATAGAGAGATGAGTTAGAATAAGTTTGTTTCACTAGTGACAAGGAATTACGGATGTCATAATGAGAAGTTTCTGCATATTGAATCACTTATGCGCGCACTGCTAAGAATAAACCTGGAGTATTCTAGAAGTGGTCGAACATTAACTTTGTACATTAAAATACGTAATGTAGTACGCAGCAAAAATAATCGAAATGGCATGACTTGGTCGTACAGGCACGGTCATGTAATCTCCCGCCTATTGCATCAAATGTATTATTCCCTCTTCAGCTCGGATGTGTTCGTCAAAAGTGCTACATACCATATCGCCGATTATCATGATAGACAATGCCAATTCCACGTAAGATCTTATAAATTAGATGGTCAAATCATAACATATCTACAATTTAGGGACTAGGTTTATTATTGTAGTAGCACTAATACCGAAGTAGACCATAATTATACGGATGTGCCTAGATGAACGTGACTTTGCAGACGACCTAGCTCCTCAATCCTATACACCAACAAATTCAAGTGAAGAGTAGAGGATATTCGTAGATTACTATTATTTGATCACAGATGTTTTCGAAGCACTGCTCGTTTGTTTTGGGACTACGGAGTGCTAAGTAAAGATTGAAAATCGATTGATGATGTATTCAAACTCTAACAACTAAGCGTTTGGGATATATGTAACGTATGCCCGGTCACTGCATACTTCAAGGGGCTATGATGCCTGCCGCAGAAGTACGTCGAAATGAAGAGAAGGGAGGCCAAACCAAAACATGGCATCGGTGCGCGAAGTCATTATCAACTGTACTGAGTTGTAGCAATGGGTAGGTCTCAGTAAACATAAGGGGAAAATGGAGATCCTGAAATACAACAGAGAGCACTAATCAAGTCACACTTGATGAAGGAGCTCTGGAGGAGGTGGAAACTTTCACATATCTGTACAGTATCATCGATAAATAAGGAAGATCTGATGCATATGTGAAGGCACGGATTGGCAAAGCAAGGGCAGCATTCATACGAATGATGAATATATGTAACTAAAAACAGCTATCAGCCAACATCAAGGTCAGGATCTTCAATACGAACTCCAGAACAGTTTTATTGTACGGAGCTGAAAGTTGGAAAACTTGTATAACCCTGTTCGGAAAGGTGCAGGTGTTTGTGAACAGCTGTTTATGTGAAATACTAAATGTCCGTCGTCAGGATACTTTCAGCAACAACGTGCTGTGGGATAGGACAATCCGGATTCTAGATGAAGAGGAGATTTGGGAAAGTGTTTAGAGGTGGATAGGACGTAAATTGCAAAAGCCATCAGATTGCGTCATGAGACAAGCGCAAACTTGGGATCCTTAAGGGAAAAGGAAGAGATGCAGTCCAAGAACACATTGCATCGGGGATTGGAGGCAGACATCGAAAGAACAAACAGTAACTGGAGACAGCTGAGAAGGATCGCTAAGTACAGGGTTCTATGTAGTATCTTGGTGAGTTGCGGCCTATGGTCCTCCAGAAGGGGTGATAGGCTCAGACGAATAGTGTGTAAGATAAATTGATATCGGATATAAGAGTATTACCTAGTGCGACAAATATGTGTTATTAATGACACAGGAATGCTACTCTATATTTTGATTAGACTACATGCAAATTTTTCGATAGGTAATACTTGCTTTTATAATGATACGGAGTGCTTCCAATTTTTAGAATGATTTAATTCACAATCAAATAATGAACAACTCCTGTCAAATCGAGCAACACAAACAAAAACGAAAGGAATCAATGTGGTTGTTGCTATAATCAAATATCAACTGAAATAACACAAATAAATCTCAGGAAAAATGGAAATTCAGTAAAGACTTAAGAAAAACAAAAACTACGATAAAATGCAGATTTTGCCATTTCAAATAGAATTAAAAGATCAACAAAACCTACATCTTAAAAATTAGGAAGATTGTATCACAAGTATGCACGTGGAAGAATTTTTATATACACAGCTTTCAAATATAATACTACAATTTAAAACAACTAGAAAGGATTTCAATGGGGACTTTTGACGAACAGCCGATGCTTTTCCGTGAGGGCTGATACGCTTAAGTAAGTACTACATTTATCAACCACGGTGTCATACTAAATTAAGGAAATATGACCAAGTCCTAGCTAAACTATTCTTGAAGTCTTACCGACCTTCAGATTGAAAGGCTGATCATCCAACGTACAGTCGTTGACGAAATGTAGTTCGGATCAAGGATAATCAGTGTGGAAAAATCAACTCGATGTCATAGATGGCCCATCGTGGCAAGGTTATGTAAATTAGGTCGTCTCTTTAACTTCCGCACTGATGAAGCATTGACGCCAGTGAAGTGTTAGATACTTGTTGGTCGCTTACATGTCAGAAATTTGCTTCATCACAAAACTATTAATATGGGTTGACCAGGCGACATGGTCTGTAGAGTTGGTCGACAAGACCTAACAATTAATCTAAAATAAATCAAGTCAATAAATCTGTAAAGAACACAAACTGTTTGCTTATCAAACACTACTCAGGCTAAACTTCACAATCCATAGCTTCGTAAGCTTGATTTGAGCCGTTGCCAAAATCGCTGATGGAACAATTAAAAAAACAATTGTTAACAAATTTGCAGTCTAAGAATTCGGGTTTCGTTTTTCCTTATACATACACATTGTCCAAAGAACACAAGACTACAAACAATTGGCCATGGAGAAAGTCTTATCGGCCGATTCATATACATTCCGAAGAAATCATTCACTCAAGAAAACAATTCTTTAAGTACCACAAACTTTAAGTAAATCGTTTGGTACATCATTACGACTTGCCTTCGAAACGATACAGAGGTAGGGAGGTCTATGGCCGTGTGAAATTCAAGTTGAAATGATTTGTAGGGAACCCCACATTTGTGTGGCTCCATATACATTGTACGAGTAAAGACCCCTGAAAAATACGTACCTGATTTTTCGAGGTGATTTCATCAAGCTGTATGAGATACTGATAAATTATTTCGGTACTGATTCATCCTACTTCTTCCTTTCATCTACGTTCCTAGTTCGGAAGAAATGCATCTGTGGTCATCTGACTAATTCAAAAGACCAGATTCTTACGGCGTGCCTAAAAACAAGTAAAAGAATCACTTTGAACCTGTCATTGTTTGTATGCATCCGCGTCGAGTAGCGCTATATCTGTATTTCAGTGTATGCCGCAATCCGACTAGTCGTAAAGCTAGGTTAATGGCTGTTTTAAAACTTCTGTGCGCGTTATTATTGACGTCTATTTTATGTTTCGGCCTTATTCTCAGTGAAGCAAATGGACCTAGAGTTACTGACAAAGTAAGGTTTGAAAATTCGGAATATTTCGAACTCCAGGTGTTCTTCGATATTGAAGTCGATCATAAGCCACTTGGTCGAATAGTTATCGGATTGTTTGGTAAAACAGTGCCTAAGACAGTTGAAAACTTCAAGCAAATTGCAATTGGCACTCAACTGGTAAGGAGAGGCTTGGTATTGTTACTTCTTCGAATTTAGAAGGATGGTCGAACTGCTTCATACAAAGGAAGCGGTTTTCATCGTGTCATTAAGTCATTCATGATACAAGGTGGAGACTTCACAAACCACGATGGAACTGGAGGTAATCTTCCGGTTTATTAATTTTCCCAGGTTTTAGTATATATGGTGATAGGTTCCCTGATGAAAACTTCAAATTGAGACATGTCGGTGCAGGGTGGTTGTCAATGGCAAATGCTGGTAAGTTTACTCGCTTAAAATTACTGTTGCAGGTCCTGACTCAAATGGAAGTCAGTTCTTCATTACGACCGTAAAGACATCATGGTTAGATGGAAAACATGTTGTTTTCGGAAAGGTTGTAGAAGGAATGGTTAGTTGGTTTTAGTCTTGTTATTTCCTTGCAGAATATTGTTAGACAGATTGAAAATGAAACGACGGATTCGAGAGATAGACCTGTTAAGAGCATCAAAATAGCAAATTGTGGACACATTCCTGTGGAGATTCCGTTTTCGGTAACCAACGATGATGCTGTAGAATAAACTAGTGTGAATAATCTCCTACCTTTTGTATTTATGTACATTCGTAAATATAATTTGGTCAAGTGGATGGGTGTACAGATTTTTCATGAGACTTATGTAAATTCTAGCTAACTTGTCATCCGTAGAAATATCTGACATTCTTTTGTCTAGTGAAGATTTCATTTGTTCAGTCTGATAAGGGTTTCTTTGATATATGTCTTAATAATTTCTACTCAGAGATCTGTTTAACTAGGCCGCTCTCGATTCTAAAACCTTAGGAAATACCACTTATTTCTGTGCAGGCTTGATTTGAGTATAGGAGCAGCACTCTTGCTTATATGAATTACCGGGAGTATTTTTTGCTAGGTTTCTAAACGCACATGGGCCTGAATTTTGTTTGAATGTTTGAGAATAACGTATTTGTGAGTGGTCACGCAGTCCCAGGTGACGGTCTGTGATTTCGAATGTACCCTTCGGTCTGGTGTGATAATGTGCAGATCAGTTATATTACAGTCAAGTAAACATTTGTATGCAGTCAAGCGTCTGTTGACTCACATGTACTTGACAGACCGCATACGTTCAAAGCACGTAAAAATGGACTTTAACTCTGTCGTCTCATGAATACACTTAGAGATTTGTACCTTAAAATTGATAGCATTCATAACCCGGTAGTTTGAAAGACAATGTAATATTAAGGCCTTGATTTAGTCTTGAAATAGTTTGAATTTACCGAACTTCACAACGACGACGATTAGGTTGAACCCAAGTAACATTATTTATTAGATCCTGTAGTAGTTCACTGAATTACCTAGTCGTTGCTTCTGAATATAGAAATGTTATGGAATACTAGGAATATATATAACTTTTATTATTTCTTAACCTCTAACATGTCAACGAAGTATTTACATTGTATTGTTATATAGTTTTGTCGCAGCTTACTAATCTTATTTCGCATGATATGCCATGACTACTGCTTAAACATATGGAACATATCCATAGTTATCGATGTACGTAAGCAATGTACATCATAGTTTGGTTATTCGAACACTTTATATCCAAGTGCTATGTGAATATCAGAAAACCTAAAATTTACTTCTTAGCCTTGATATCGCTTAACCTGGACTCTATTGTTTTGGCCGCCAAATTCATAGGAGTAACGGCACATCAAACTACTGGGGTCTGTTTGTTCTGAATTATATGTTGTCAGAGATGAGTAAATAAAAATGCATCGATAATATTCTGTTATCAGTTTCTACCTTTCAGGTCAACTTAAAATATTACATTGTAAGTATTCTACCTGCTTCGGTTTAGGTACCCAGGCAGTATCACAGCCCTCACACATATCAAATGAGATCTGTGTGGCGCATATGTATTTGGTGCCTCCTTGTATCAATATCTATGTGTTAAAATAAATAAAGTCTAATCACTGCAAATCAAATGTCAATGCAAAATTTAGATATTTATTATATGGTCATAATTGACACAACCCGGCAGCACATTCTAGTTGCAAGTCATTTTAGTACCACTATATTTTTTGAAATCACACACCCATGCACTAAGTGTCCACTTGTTTCAGAGCTAGTGTTTCTGGATGGACGGAGCACAAGGTAAACGCGTTCCATTCAGGACTGCGTAGCTACTACAAACTCGTTAAATGAGACTTTCGGTAGTAAATTTTATAGTTCCTGGATCCACTGCTTTCAAGGTTTGTATTACTATAGTTTTCAGACGAATTCGGTAAGATTATTACAGCCTTAAAATACTACCATGAGGTTTTTCAGACATAACGTGGCAACGTTACGAGCAGAGGCGTAATGGTTAAGAGGTTCAAATCCTAACCACTAAGTCCCTGGTTTGAACCCCATTCTGCCTGACCGGGTAGTATCATCGGCCCTCAAGTATCAAATGACTCATACCCAAGTACCTGGTAGATACGTTGATTTATCTAAAGTACCAAAAAGTCCGTAGGTTATTAAATCAATTTCTGGCTACATTCATCAAGATTCGCCAATGCGAAAGTAAGAAAGTAGAATAGATTTACTTCTCTATCCATTTTATACAGTTTTATGATAAATAAAAGCACATAGTAATAAGGTATATCACTAAACACTTGCGTATATGTTGTTTGTAGATTATAACATCATTTTTATTATTTTAGGCAATAAGAGGCAAGTAAAACATTTTCAAAGTTAAAATAAAATCACACTGTAAATGAATAAAATGAAATTAAAGTTGGTTGAGACTATAGAGTGGTATGTATGAGTTTAAGCAGTTTTCTTCTTTTTCTTATGTCTGTTCTTATGCTTTTTTGCTTTATCTTTAGGCGAAGTGATTTCTGTTTGTTTAGGGCCATTACTAACAATGGGAGATTCATTTTTATCATGGAGGATTTCGGGGTTCACTAGACTTGCTGATGACTGACATTCTGGGGTCGGTTTATTCTGGCTGACTTCATTTATGATAAGCTCATCGGATTTGTCAGCTTTGTGCACACATGAATCTAATTCGGTAGCTTTTGCCTCTAATTTAGTTTGTTTTGTATCTGATTTCATATGGTTTAAAATCGTAGGTGAACTGCTGGAAAATAACTCCGAATCATCCTTAACATCATTTTGCATATTACTTTTGTTTAGGATGTTCTCCTTAGAAACAGGTTCCACTAACAAGTGAGCGTTATATCGATCTTCCGTCTTGTTAGACTGCTTGAATGTCACTGTCCCCAAATTAGTACACTGTTCTAATATATTAGGGGTTTTAACTTTTTCTTGGTCATTTGATGACAGTTCATCGTGTGGATCGGGTCCAAGATCCTGTAGAACTGAAACCAATTGAGCATCTGAAACTTGTTTAGGAGTACCGAAAGCATTAAAGTCAGTCAGATCGATTTGACTAAGTTGATTTTGTTCTGAATCTATAAGACTCTCTGGAATCTGAGAGACAACTGAACTCCAATCACATTTGTTCGCCTTTTCTGCTATCTTGATAGTTAGATTATCCTTCTCATTCTGCCATATTTCTTCCAAATCAATATTTCTAGTTTCGGATTTTCCTTTCTTATCGGGTTTGATAATAGGCCATCCTTCACCCACAAAAAGTCCATGGTAAGATAATTTATTAGACTGAGAGACAACAGGTTGACTGCTTTTCGAAGTGCACTTACTAGTTGTGATGTGTTCTGTTCTTACTCTAGTTGAGTGTCCATCAAAAAACTGACTCATTTCAACTTCAAACTGTGGTTGATCTAGCTTGGCCAAAGTAGAAACCCATTCCGAGCAATTTTTGTCGAATATACTTTCACTTTTATACGTCTGAGTATTATGAGACGCTAAATTTGAAGACAGTTGAGATTCGTCTGCTGCATAATTGTGTTTTGAAACAGAGGGGTTAGGATTATTAGTTTTCGGCTCTGGATCTACTTTTTTGTCGTTGGGCCACCCATCTCCAACAAAAACGCCATGGTATGGGAGTTTCTCTCTCGACTTACCATTTGATGGAAGTGGCGGGTATTCAGAAGAAATGTCAAGTTTTGTATGATTTTTATCGGTGGCGAATGATTTTTTGACAGATGGCACATTACTAGGAGATTTCGGACAGTTCGTCGGCTGGGAAAGATCAGAGCAATGAGCACTAGAATCTTGGGGGTGAATACGAGATGATTTATTGAAGCCACAAGTATTATCTTCATGATCAGCGTCATAACCCGAGATAATACCCCCAGTTTCTGTGTTCTGCAAGAGATCAGTTGATACGCTAGGGTGTGTCAACATGTTTTGCCCAGTGAGCAATTTTTCTCGTTCCTCTTGCTCTTTATAACGTTTCCGAATGGTTTTACCACAGTCTGTCCAATTAAGAGCTTTCTTCTCAAATCGACTAGCATGAGTTTCTTTAGATTCAACAGTCTGTTCTCCGTGCACATGAGTAGTGTGTTGGTGTATTTTAGTGATATTTTTTTGCTCTTTTACTGAGTTGCTTATCTCACCTAAATCGATACGTTCGGTTATCAAATCTAATGAATGGTCATTTGATGAAGATTCTGCTGTTTCCTTCTTTTGAGCTGAAATAACAAAAACAGGTACATTTACCAGGACCAGTAGGACATTAGAAAAGATAATACTTAAACTTACCTTACTAAGTTTTGGCTAGGTCTAGTCGATGTTCATTAATTGGGATTGTAGCTGGAAGCTATGCTACATACTGTTTTGTTCTGAACCAATTGATAGATATCATTAGTCTTCAAACAAAATATACATTATACTGCTTCCCATAATACAAATGAGCCTGAAAGTGAACATATTTTTGGCATCTTCGATCAACATAATTACATAAAATCTACATATTCCTGAAATGATTTTCAGTATTAGCACAACAGAGAAGGATATTACCATATTGACAGAAAACAAATATACTGTCAGCATTACAAATTAATGCCAATTATTGCTCATTCAAAAGGAAATAAAATTTACTCAAATTGAAGATCGTGGTTATATAATTTCCCGTCTTGGAAAACTGTAGCCGGGTTGATATTCTGACTAGAACTCACACTGAAAGTTTTGTAAGCTATTCGTATAATGAAAAATCCGCTTGCCTGGCGGACGAAGCCACTTTAACTGTGAATGACACATGAGATAATGGTAATCAGTGATAAGAAGAAATAATATCGAAATCTGATTTATTATTAGAATCAAACAATCAACTACTACTAAAGTAATCCAAAATGATATGGGTGACAGGCCGGAGCCCTGTTTCTCAAGGTTTCTGCAGGTTTTTGGTAGTAATTTCGAACGAAACTAGCATTATCGAGTTAACACTTATGGATAAACAGTATATCAAGTTTCATCCGGTTTTCAGTGAACTTCACTTAAGCTAAATGTGACCATCAAGTTATGCACTTACAGTCATTCATGAAGGATTAAAAACAGCAACTGCGGTGTAGAAAGGTGTTTATATGTGAGTGACATTTCTGATTTGTGCTTTAAATTTATCAAAAGTACACATAGATTTCGAACATCCACTAAAATGAC